GAACAGAGCACGAATCGGAAACAAAGACAGAAGCCAGCCACAGAAATAGGGTATTTACAATGCGGCCTGGGATCCAATGCTGAACAGGGTAGGAACTCAGGATTCATTCAAATATTGAGTCAAAGACCCTTTCACAATTCTATCATAAATCCTAAGAAGCTAGGCATGGTGGTACATGCCTGAAATCCCAGAGACTCAGGAGGCTAAGGCAGGAAGGTTGAAAGTTCAAAGCCAGCCTTAGCAACTTAGTGAGGCCCTATACAACTCAGTGAGACCCTGTCTCAAAATAAAATACAGAAAGGGTTGGGATGTGGCTCAGTGGTTAAGCACCCCCTGGGCTCAATCCCTGGTACCAAATAAATAAATAAACCTTAAGGAAGAAAAGTATCCTTCTGACTTTAATATATATCCAGTCTTGGTTCTTATCAGCTCAAACTAAGCAGAGCTGGCTCAAGCTGTGAAGCTTCAATACCTGCAGCTCAGTGGTTCTCAAACAGGATCAATTTTTGTCTGCTGTGTAACATTTGGCAAAGTTTAGAGACATTTCTGATTGTCAAGAATTGGATGGGGGGAGCTACTGACATCTCAGAGAGGTCAGATTTCCCTCTAAACCGCCTACAATGCACAGAGCAGCCCACCACGACAAAGAATGATCCAGTCCTAAATGTGAATTATTTGGATTCTGTATAGGTAGGAATGGGTCTGTCAGGAACAAGGACCAACAATCAAGAGAAAAAAGTTGTTATTATTTTATAAGTGTTCTTTCATTCACTCACTCATCCTTCCAGAAAACACCTTGTATTATGTGCCAGGGGCCATGAGGCTATATTGGGCATTGAGGAGACAATGATGGTTAAGAAATGGTTTTTGCCCTCAAGAAGCTCTTAGTTTATAAAAGAAAAATTACAACTTCATCGGATTCATTAAATTTTATCAAAAATGCCAGGAGCCCAAACATAAAGATTATTATTGTTTTTAGTTCATCTTGTTCTCTGCAGAATAATTTGAGATATTCCAAAAATCAAATTGGTTTCAGTTTAAAATCATAGTGGGATGTCCTCAATAGAAGATATGATATGGATCGAGGCTAGGTACAAAGATAATACTTGGATGGAAGGTGAAAAGTAAACCTAGTACAATGTTAATGGTAGAGTCTAGGTAGTAGGTTCACTATAAACATTTTTCAATTTTCCTAAATGAAAAATGCTAAACAAAATGGAGCCTAACTCTCCATTCCTTGTTTAACAAAGAAAATTTTTAAACTAAACCATATGTATTTAAGTAAGACAATAAAAATGTTTCTGGCAAACCTTAGTTACCTGTTGATTCAGGAGCACAGTGCTGTATGGTGTTGAGATGTGCGGTCCAGAGACCTGAATCATTGCCATCACCTGAGATCTTGTCAGAAATACTGAATCTCAGAAGCCAAGACATTCTCAATCAAAGGTTGCTATTACCAAGATTTCCAAATTCATATCCACATTTAAAAAAAAAAAGTTTTGTTTTGTTTTGTTTTGATACTGGGGATTGAAGCCAGGAGCACCTAACCATTGAGTCATATCCCCAACCCTTTTTTATATTTTATTTAGAATGTCTTGCTGAGTTGCATAGGGTCTCTTTAAGTTACTAGGCTGGTTCTGAACTCATTATCCTCCTGCCACAGCCTCCATAGCCAGTGGGATTACAGGCATGGGCCACCATGCCTAGCTGCACATTAAAATTTGAGAAGCACTGGGGTAATAAGGATCAAGGACTGCAGACCCACTTTCTAGTTTTCATTCATTTATAAGTTTTAAAAATATATTTATTAAGTAGTGGGACACAGTGGCATAAGTCTGTAATCTCAGAGACTAGGACAGCTGAAGTAGGAGGATTGCAAGTTCAAAGCCAGCCTCAGCAACTTAGTGAGGTCCTAAGCAATTCAGTGTTTATTGAATGTATTGAATGCCTATTATGTTTCTAACACTGTTGTAAATGCTAGAGATAGAGCAATGATTAAGAAACTTCATTCCTTAAGTTCTAGTGAAAGAGAATAATAAACAAGAAGGCAAAATATTCCAGAAAATGTATATGAAATATAGAAAATAAAATAAGTAAAGTATTAAGAAATATTCATAGAAAGCTATGTTAATTAGGGAACGCATCAGATATTGAGCAGAATTCTGAATGATGAGGTGACAAGTTAATCAGAGGTGGGGGATACATTCCTGACGGAGGAAACAGGGACAGGACAGAATGTGTAAAATCCCTGAGACGGGAGCTAGACCAGATATGCCACTTCACATTTCTGAAACAGAGACACCTCATCTGTAAAACAAAGGTTTTGGACCAAATGATCCAAAAACATGAAAAGAGGTTTAGTTGCTCAAATCCACTCCAGCCTTATTCCTCAGCCTTAAGATACACAGTACTGTTCCCTTGGCCTAGAACACTCTTTCCATCCACAAACATCTTCCTCTAGCTAAGTTCTGCCATGCTGTGAATCTCTGAGTCCTCTCCAATACTACCATGTACTTCTACTACTAAAGCCTTTATCCCACTGTATCTTCATGGTGTATTTATTTGTCTGCAGCCGCAGAGGCTGCTAAGAAACACAAGATATCAGGTGCATCTCCTTCAACTTTCTTAGCCCGGAATTGTATCTATAGTCTGTGCTACAACATAGGTGCTTATGTATCAAGTGGATGAACACAATTTCCATTTGTCCCTTTATTGATTGGTCTAATCCCCATTCAACCATCTTTACATCTCTCTTCTTGAGAAAACTTTCTAATCTTTTTGAACAAGAAAAGCTTTCAGAATTGTAAACTTGCTCCCTTGATATCTTCATGTCCAAATAAGAATTCTTTTCAAGAGTCCCTAGGAAGGAAACCACAGAATGTTCAAAAATACAGAAGGAGGATTTTTTTTTTAATCCAGGAATTCATGACTCCTGTGACAACTGAAATAAATATACTGCCTTAGTCATCACTGTCCTCTTAAACCAGTTTGAGGAAACATGTTTTGCTTTTTGTTTTAAACAGGAACAGATTGCTCAGGGTTTAGGAGAGCCAGACACGAATCAGAAAGCCCTTCCTCTTTCATTTTAGAAGTCCTTGCTCTCTGCTTAGTTGGAGATATTTACTGACATACAGATAAAAACCACCTTCTTTCTCTTCTCCCTATGTCCTTGTGGGAAAGAAATCGTGAGCGCTCCCCTGGCAGCAAGCCTCAGGAGGTTATGCAGGATGGGGTAGTGAATTCTGTTCACCTTCAACACTGGAAATGCTGAACAGAGGTGGCCTGAAGCTAAACTCAGAACAGGAACTGGGCCTGAAAATGAGCTCTTCAGCTGCTTAGATAAACTCAACAAACTCTAGAGTGATACCAGATCAAAAGAAGAGCAAGCAACTAATATCTGCTCCAGAATTCCTTCTGGCATTTTCTAACTGAACCAATCTGGTGTGTGTTTGTTTGTTTTTGGAGGTCTGTGGAAGAAAACCAAATTTTTCTGTGTTCTTTTTAAATCCCAGGCACTGTGAAAAATCTTTACGTGCATTGTCTTAATCATTCATATAACCATGCAAGGTATCTATTTTTATACTCATTTCACAAAGAAATTGAAGCTCAGAGAAAGCAAGTTACTTAACCATTGCATTAATGAACAGTAGAGATCCAAATCCATGTCTAATGGATTCCAAACATAGTATATTTTCCTTCCATACCTAGAAATAGAAATAAGTCCAGTCTTTTGGAGACAGCTTCCAAATTATAAAGAATTCCATGCAGCTTATAGCATCATAGCAATCACCATTCCATAGAAGATCAGTAGTTGATCTTAGGCAGACTATTTCTAACTATATTGACATAGTAAGATTTCTTAGACAGTATTTTGACAATGGTAGCTGTTTACCCAATGGTCTAGCATCCTTTAAAAACTGAAGATGATTCTAGAAACCAGCTTTGTATTTGCTGTTTCTCAGACTAAAATACCTTTCCTGTAATTCTCCACCTGGCAAACTTAAAACTATTTTCAAGTTATTTATCCTTTAAGTCCCAATTCTGTAAGACCCTCTGCAATACCCCTGGATACTTAAAATTTTCCTCTGTGCTGTATATCTGTATTTTGTAACATCTATCCAGGGATATTGTAATAATTTGTTTATCTTCCCCACTACAATATAAGCTCTTAGAAGGCAGATAGGGCAGACAGAATATGATTCATTTTTGTGTTGCTTATCCCAGGGCCTGGCACTCATAGCCACTCATTAAATGTTTGTTGAATTGATGTAGCAGAGACCACAACTGTGAAAACAACTAGCTATAAAACAATTGGCTAAGAGTTGCCATTAAAATGGGTTCAAGATGGTACATAAGCATGTAAAAACAATCCACTGGTTCCATTTAGAACAAAAGTGGTTTGGGAAAGTTATACCACGAAATAGTAGATGAGCTGCACTTTTAGAATGAGTAAAACTTTGCCAGGTGGAAAGGAAACAAGAAGAAAGGCATTTTAAAGATAGAAAAACCAAAGCAAAGGAAAGAAAGTAGGAAACTATGGCAAGTAGCTGAAGGGGAACCCAGGGATTTATTTTTGAACTTTTGAGGGAGATGGAGTCAAAAGAACAAGAGTCAAAAGAGTTGAGAATTTCTGTCAACTATATCAATGTCACCTACTTATTTCTTTATATTTCCTGCTTAATATATCATTTACAGTAAGTTACGGTCCAAAGGCCATGAAGCCTGGAGTGTGCTTATGAATAGGCATCGACTTAGACCACATCTTCTTAACATCATTTGCAGGACTTTAGGGAAAGTGAGATTGAGTGGGCCAAGGGCAAAGATTTTCAAGACTGAAAAAAAATTGGGGGAAGATAGTAACAGATCTCCTCCTTCTAACACTAAAAAATGAAGAACAAGCCATAGTATTTGCACATTGACATATTCCTGAACTAATTCGTTTAGGAGATTCTATAGTTAAGGGCAAGGGGGAAAGCTGACATTGATATAATCAGACTTACCTCCTATGAAGCCCTAGCATAGTGGTTCTTAATCTTGCTTTACAATCACCTAGGGAGCTCTCAAAGTCCCTGGTACCCAGGCCACAGTACAGACTAGTTGATACAGAATCTCTAGAGATAGACCCAGACGTCATGATGTTTTCAAGCTCCTTAGATGATTTCAGTACATAATCAAGTCTGAAACTGCTGCCCCCCCAAACTGGGGAAAGTGGTAAGTAGATGCAATGGAGAGAATGTGATTCAGTACATCCAGGGTAGCTCCTAAAGTCTCCATTTCAAAAAGGTACTCCAGGCGATTCTCAGGCAGGTTGCCTGTGGATAATACTAGGTAAAACCCTGGTGTCACAGATTGTTCCCTGTTAGCTACGCAGTGAAGACCACTGGGAAGGTTCATGTGTGTGTAAGCCACTATCTAATAATGGATCATTGTTACATAACCACAGATTCTAATCTATTCTTATTCCCAAGGACAATAATGAGAATCCTTCTGAGAAGAGCCATAGAGGGCACTATGTGAGAAGCAGAGTACAAAATGTGATATAATACAAAATAGCAATTTCACAGATTGCTCATTCATTAAATGGCATCATGTCCCCAGCATCATCTATACTCCTGAAGATTTTGCTGAACAATTGCACATTTGGGCCAAAATGATAATGGTCATGGGGGAAATCTTACTGATTTCAAAAGAAAATGCCCCTGTAGGGCAAAGGTAAATCCTTTCAAATGAATAAATTTGTGCAAATTGGCTCATAAGAGACAAATAGGAAATACAAAAAGTTTCCTTTCTCCTAGTACAAAGTGAGAAACATTTTTCTAAGGTAAAATCAAAATGTTTCTTTAGCAGTACTTAAGCAATTAATTATAGTGCAGGGTATTTACAGCCTTCCATAAATCTATAAATTAGAAAAGCAGCAGGTTTAACTAATTAAAAGGAACACGTAGCCAGGCAGGGTGGCACACTCTTGTAAACCCAGCAGCTCGGGAAGGCTGAGGCAGGAGGATGGCAAGTCTAAGGCCAGCCTCAGCAACTTAGCAAGGTCCAAAGCAATTTAGCAAGACCCTGTCTCAAAAATATAAAATAAAAGGGACTGCTCAGTAGTTAAGTGACTCTGAGTTCAATCCCTGTACCAAAAAAAATAAATAAAAAGGAAGATGTATATGTTTGCAATTTTCCACAAATACTGAAGATCTTGTTTGTCTCTGTTTATCTTTTTAAATTTTTTTTTAGCTATAGATGGACACAATACCTTTATCTTATTTATTTCTTTTTTTGTGGTACTGAGGATTAAACCCAGTGCCTCACACGTGCAAGGCAAGTGCTCTGCCACCGAGCCACAATCCCAGCCCATATGTTTACATTTTTGAAAAGCAGTGATCTTCCAGAATATACTCATTGACTGGTAAATACTTGGTATTTGATCAACAGAATTTCATTGCAGATAATTATCTGAAGAACCCCAGTCAGGGATCCTTTTACAATGGGATGCCAACTCTTCAGATGTCTTCCCTATGGCTAAAGAAAAGAGTCCAGAAAGGCAAAAGAAAACTTGTCAGGGGTATATAACATTGTATAGCACCATCTTCTCCTGCACAGAGAAGAACTGCAGTATTTTATGATTTCAGTATTCCTTTTGTGAAGTGCAACTGCTCTTAGCAGCACCCACACAAGAAGTTTCAATCTCATCCTTACCGTGTGCAAAAACAGACACTCCTTCAGAAGACAGCGAATGCTTGTCCCCAACACCTCCTCAGTAGAGTGGAGCCTGTTCTTACTGTACTCTTCTTCTGCCAAGAACCTTGATGGATTTGGGAATAATTGGACAGAAACTAGTTTGTAAAACCAGGAGAACCCAGTTGGCAATTGACTTACACAGCCATTTTACCACTATGCAATGTCATTAAAGCAATGTCATTAGAAAAGCCATGTACAAATTAGGTAAGGATTTTACAGTTATTTTTAATGCAATTAATTTGATAGACTCAAGCACTAACTCAGTTTATGCTACTCACTCCTGGCTTCCTATCACCTCTGTGCATTCCTTGCTGTACCTTGTTATGTAGTTAGTGTATTTGTTCTCTCACTGGTCAATGAATGCAAAACTTGCTGTAGCACATAAGTTCCTCTAAGGCAATGGAGAAGGATGGTTCATATTCTTTTTTTTTTTTTTATTAGTTACATGTGACAGTACAATGATCTTGACAATTCATACATTTGAATCAAATGGGGTATAATTTCTCATTTTTCTGATTGTACAGGTTGCAGAATTACATTGGTCATACAGTCTGGTTTATATTCTTGAGATCACACCAATCACAGGGAAAAGCACATGGCTACAGAGTGGTGGCACGGATGGTAGAAAGCATTGTTATTGGTTTCAAGAATCTTAAATTTAAATTTGATTCACTTTGGGAAGAAAGAGTTAATAGCCTCCTGCAGAAACTCAAGGATTCCCTAGATTTCATGGTCAACTTTCCTTTACAAATGCCTCTGTTTTTTGATCTTCTAAACAATGCAGGGGGACATGGTCTCATTCAAGCACTGCCAGAACCAGATTCAGTTAGAGGCTTTGCCAGGAAGATTATTATTATCATGACCACTGGCAGATTACCTGTGAGATGGTCAGATTATTTTCCATGTTTCTGGCCCCAAAACAGTTGTCCACCAATTTCCTCCCTTTTTTCATAGTCCTTTTATGAGATGAATGGAGACACTTTTTCTTTTCTTTTCTTAAACATATACATTTTTTAATACCTTTATTTTATTTATTTATTTTTATGTGGTGCTGAGTATCCAACCCAGGGCCTCGCACGTGTGAGGCAGGTGCTCTACCACTGAGCCACAACTCCAACCCCTGAAGATGCTTTTTTAATGAACCTTTTCCATCTACATGACCTCTCTCTATAAATGATTTTCTTAGTGATTCACTGACTCCCTCGGGCTCACTTCAGTTTCCAGGTAACTGGCCAGTAATTCAACACTCATGTTGCAGAAGGTGCTGAAAAAATGATGCAGAGAAAAAAAAATTTTCATTAGTGCTAAATTGTCAACGGCTTTTGTAAGTGGTGATAAAACATCAAAAGAATACTTAAGCTGAACAGATTATCCTGCAAGTGTTAGGAACAAAAATAGGCCATCGGGGAAATATGTGGGATATTCTCCTTTAGAGTGGTTTGTGTTTTGTTTTGTTTTGTTTTGTTTTGTTTTAGTTGGTCTTATTTGGTTATGGGTTTAGGATGGCTCAGACCATGGACAAGAAGGAGAGATTTTATGAATTTTCAAAGTACTATCTAGTCAAGGTACATCAATCACGAAAGCATATAATTGATTTTGAATACCCATTAGAATTTGCTGTCATATTTGAACCTCCCCAAAAGAGTGTGAAGTAAAAAACACAGACATTATGTATTCACCATATTTGCAGAATGGGAAACCATGATTTATAGGAATTATGTGCGTTTCACAGGGTCACAGAGCTGGCATATAACAGAAGGCTCTTTATCCTAAGCCATGTTGCCTTTTCCACCTCTGCCCAGGAGAGCACTGGCTGACACTCAGGGGGTGCCCAAAGTTTAACCAGTACAAAACCAAGCAGGACTGACGATGTCATCACCAACCAACATCATATTGTCTCCCACTCTTCCTGTAAATGTTAATCAATGAAGAACTTTCTTCCCTGATGTAGGTCCAAACTCAGAAGTCCCATGATTCTTCTGATAACTTTGGTAATGAAAAGTCCAGTCATCGTTTCAAGCCACAGAACAGTCTCAAACTCCTAATTACAATGATCCAATCACATGCAATAATCAAAAGTTCAAACCAGATTGGAAATTAAACTTTATTTTTCCCACTCCCTAGAAGACTTTTTATAGATAATCTCAAAAGACAAAGTTACAACAAATTTAAAGATTTTTAACTGGCTCTTACTTGTGGTTCTAGAATCAGGCAGGCCTCTGCACATGAACAGGTTTGTTTTAGTCAGCTTTTTCACTGCCATGACTATAGGACCCGACCAGCACAATTTTAGAGGAGAAAAGGTTTATTTGAGGGCTCACAGTTTCAGAGGTTTTAGTCCATAGAAGGCTGGCTCCATTTCCCAGAGCTCGAGAGGAGGCTGAACATCATGGCAGGAGAGGGTGGCAGAGGAAAGCAGCCCACATCATGGTGACCAGGAGGCAGAGAGAGACTCCACTTGCCAGATACAAATATACACCCCCAAAGACATGCCCAATTCCCATTTCCTCTAGCCACACCCTACTAGTTTAGTTACCAGTTAATCCATATGAAGGGATTAACTCCCTAATTGGGTCAAGACTCTCACAACCCAATCATTTCTCCTCTGAACCTTCTTGCATTGTCTCACACGTGAGCCTCTGGGGGGACACTACATCTGAACCATAACAGGTTCAAAGAATTCCAGTCTGACACAAGATCTGACAGCATTTACGGACAGAAGATGGAAATGAGACTGCTGGAGTGGTTATGGTTCCAAGTTTGCCTTATTTGAACATGATCTGAACAGTTGTTCACCTGTGCCTGACTGGAGCTCAGCTCCTAAAGCTGACTGAGACTCAGATATTCGTTACAAATGTATGCCCCTAGGTTTGGCTTTCAGTTAGCTTAGGTACTAAGTTAGGTTGCAGTTCATGATATAAGAATTTATGTACAGAAGCATCCTAGAGTCAAATTTAGTTTAATAGTAGGAAGACTGGGAAATGGTGATGAGAATAAGAAGTCCTCCCTTTTACCACCCCTCTTCATTTTGCTGAATTCGTTCTGATCCTAACTTCCAAGATCTCAGTGTATTGAAAGGACAGTTAGGACATGGCAGGAAAATTCTCACCTTACTAATACCATCACAAAATAGTCCTGTACTCTTATAACACTGGCTGTAAGGAGCTACTTTGTGGATTCTTAGAAAGAGCTGCATCACCAAGGACTTCTCATCTGAGATTCCCTTGATGTGAGTCACGCACACTCCTCCAGCACACCCATCTAAAGCAAGCCATTCTGTCTCACATCTGAGGGGAGAAAACTGTTCTACTCTGTGTCCTAATTCCATATCAAACCAAGTGAGTGCTCCCTGTAAGGCCTTTGCACTAGGTTTGACATAAGGTACAAGGACCTTATCTTTTCTTTTTGGAGAGTTAGAATGCAGCCCAACTATCCACAAAGTTTGAAATTCTTCCTCCATGTTCCTTTCTTAGACCTTCCCGGCAAGAATTGTAAGAGCCATGTAATTGGTTTTGGGACACAATCTTTGCAACTTTACATTTTGATCCGAAACCTCTATAGGAAATGTATTGTTAACTCTATACACCCAAATCAAAATTTTCAGCTGGACATGG